TACGACACTATGAATGAATCCTAATATGGCTTTGGGTGATGAAGTCTCATTGGATAGTCATTGGTTACAGCTGCTGCACAGGGATTCCATCTTACCACACATTGAAGCAGTGGTTGATATCAGAGGCTCATAAGTCAACTTGCCAGGGTTTGGGTTCAGTTAACACTGTCCTTGTGATCTTGTTTCCTCATCTCTGAAACAAAGAAAAAAAGAAATCTGTGTCAACACTTTAGAGAGAAAGTAAATGAGATTTAAACTACTTAGAATAGTGCCTGTCTCATAAAAAGTTTCAGCTCAATAAATCTTAGTTATTATATCTTTTACAAACTTACAAGTGCTATTTATCTACAATACCTTATTGAGTCGTTCTAAGCTCCATGCAAGGTTAGTATGATTATCCTCACTCTATAGACAAAGAAATTATATTTCACCATGGCTAAATAGTTGTTTAAGGTATAGCAGGTAAATCAGAGTTATTCAACATTGGCTTTGGGACTTCAAATCCTATGTGTACCACCTTCTGTGACTATTTTTTTTAATATTTGTGTGTGTGTGTACATGTATGTAAATGCTTGTGGAAGCCAGAAGAGGGAACACAGGAGTTATAAGACAAATGTGAGCTATCTGACAATAATACTGTGAACTCAACTCTGGTCTTCTGCTACAGAATTAAATGTTTCTAACCTTATAGTCCTCTCTCTAACCCCTTTGTGATCTTTAAAATCAGTCTCCTGTTCTTCAGGAAGTCCTGATGTCTTCACTATTTTATATCTTCCTATCCATTCCAGATCCTCAGCATATCACAGACAGGAGGTTGTCAGTCCATGAAGGAGCCTTAAGATCTGTTCTTATAAGAGATATTATCCCAAGGGAAGGTGAGTGAGGACATACAGTATGAAGGATGGTGTTACTGGAGGTCACAATCTGCTTTAGGATATATCAGGAATGGATTACTTTCAATACTAATAATCACAAACTAGATTGGCTCAAACTGTGAGCTGAAGATTTGCCTGTATGCTAAGTTGAAGAGATTTCCAAACATTTCTCCCTCCACCGTTAGTGCCACCATTGAAACTACAAAACCTGGTGGTGTGAAATAAAAAGACAAATTAAAAACACAAAGAAGAGGAAAGGGGAACAGCCCCATGCACCCAGCTGGAACATGAGTCATAATTACACTTCTTTGGGTTTGTCATGTCCTTGGCAGATCCGAGAAGCACAGAGTTGGTTCCCATGTGAGTGTCAGACTCAAGGAGAGAAGACAGTTCCTCAATAAGTTCTGTTTCCCTGGAAACGTGTTGTGGGACAATGGTTTTACCCTGTAAAGATTTATTTATTGTACTTGTTTAATAAAATGTTGATTGGCCAGTATCTAGGTAGGAAATAGAGGTAGGATGACAAAAACAGGAGAATTCTGGGAAGAAGAAAGATTCAGTCTGCAGTCATTGCCCAGACACAGAGGAAGCAAGATGAGAATGCCTTGGTGATGAAAGGTACCAAGCCACATTGCTAACACAGACGAGAATTATGGGATAATATAAATTATAAGAGTCATAAGAAGCCTGAGATAATAGGCCAACCAGTTTATAATTAATGTAGTCCTCTGTGTGTTTCTTTGGGATAGAATGGCTGCAGGACCTGGTGGGACAGAAACCTCGGTCAACAGAAGTGTTTTTTCTTGCTGAACCCAGGGCTCCACAGAAGTTCTTTGAGGGTAAGTTCTTCTGTGAAGAAGCATTTGTAATGCTGTAAAGATGCTCAGTGGCTTCCAAAAGGAGACAGTGGGAAGAAGTGGCTTTGTGTGCATTTCTGTATGATACCACACACAACCTTTATCTTTGGTATAAGCTTCTAAAGCTAGTGTACTTGTATTAAAGGATATACATATCTAAAAGTTGTATATAAATGCACAAATTTCCTTCCAAATAGGCTTTACCAATTACACTGTCTACATATAAGAATATAGTATTTTTTTTCCAGAATAATTTTTCAGAATGCTAAAAAGAACTTATACTTTCCTCTGTTACCACAAAGAACTGTCGGCTCTATGTCTTTGAATAAGATGGTGTACACCCATGGAAACCCAATGATCTGGTGTGACGTCAGTGTTGACAGTGTGATAGCATTCAGAATTGACTGGGAGATGGTTGGCCTCCAGCACACCTGTGAGGGGTTATTTAGATTAGGTCAGTCTCTGACACACCTGTAAGGGGTTATTTAGATTAGGTTAACTCTGGGCACACCTGTGAAGGGTTATTTAGATTAGGTTAACTCTGGGCACACCTGTGACAGGTTATTTAGGTTAGGTCAGTCTCTGGGCACACCTATGGGGGGTCTTGATTGAGGATCCACCCTAAAGGAAGACAGCCTACTCTTGAGTCCTGGCCACGAATCAGGTAGCTGAGCACAAGCATTCATCACTCTCTCCCTCCTGATTGTGGGCACATGGGAGTCAGTGACCAAGGCCCTACCTTCAGGACTTCTCTGTCATGATGGAATGTACTATAAACTGTAAGCCCAGGAAGTGCTTTCTCCCTTAAATTGCTTTTATCAGAGTACTTTTTATCATAGTAATGGGAAGAGTAATGAAGACATCTGGTTTCCATGATAGGATCACACTGGTTTGGATACTTGCTGACTGTGTGACCTTGATAAAGGTATTTAATCTCTGAATTCTTAGCTTCTTCATCTGTGAAACTGGAATAGTAACATCTATCTTAAAGCATTGTGATGATGACAATAAAGTTGACTGAATTACCACAAATTAGGCAATAAGTAAATATACACCTGCCACTTCCAGCTGCTGCTGTTTATAGCTTTGCTGAGATTTGAGCTACCTGTATCCTACTCTGATCCATCACAAATGTTTACAGTACCTGGGGTCATAAAATGCTCTTCTTTCATAGTGGACAGACTGAATTAAAGCTGCTTTTATTCAAGCATTTATTAAGGTACTAACAAGTTTTTTCCAAAGTATCTATTCCAGTTAAAATTAAAATTTTAAAAATAATTTTCCAGTGATGTGGGATTCCCCTCCATATGCTATGAATATCATTGGTTAATTAAGGAATGCTTTGGGTCTATAGCAGAGCTATAGGGGAGCTTAGCTAGGTGGGGAAAACTAAACTGAATGCTGGGAGGAAGAAGGAGGAGTTAGAGAGAAGTTATGTAGCCCCTCTGGAGATGGACGATTTACCTGGTAAGCCACAGCCATGTGGCAATACACAAATTACTAGAAATGGGTTAAATTTAAAATATAAGCATTAGCCAATAAGAAGCTAGAGCTATGGGCCAAGCAATATTTTAAATAATATAGTTTCTGTGTGATTATTTTGGGTCTAAGCTGCTGGGCGGCCAGGAAACAAACAAGCAACCTCTAACAACACTCCAGTTAAGTACTATTTTCTATAATTCTGGATTGCCCAGTGTCAGCTACATGGACATTCAGGTGTCATGAGTCCTGAGACAAACTGATGGCTGCCTTAATGTGTCTTCATTTTTCACTGCATTTGTTCTTTTGGAACCCTGGTTATAGATTTATTAGTCACAGTATAAGATTCTTTCAAAGCTTGATATATATGATCTATAATTAAATTAGATCTATTTAGGTCTATTTAGTTTAATCAAAGTTATTATAATGGGCCTGTCTTAGAATCTTCAGTAAGCAAATTCTGGGAAGGGCATACATGGGCATTGTCTAATCTTAGAGCATTAATAAAGAGTGCTATTGGTCCATGAGCCTACTTTTCATTACTATAGTGATGTACCCAAAGCAGGCTAAAATTATAAATAAAAGAGGTTTAATTAACTCACAGTTTGGGAAGCTGAAAGTCAAAACTGTATGGGTCACCCTCCAGTGAGGATCACCCACCTCAGCTGCATTGCCTCAGGGTGGATGGCAAGGACTCCATCAATCAGGAAGCCAGAGGGAACTGCAGGGGTCAAAATTCACTCTCAAGAGTACTCACTCCGAAAGACCAGTGTTCCCTGTGTGAGACAGGAATCCAAATGACCTAAGTCCCCACCCACTACCCCAACTATCACACCCCACCACACACACACACAACACACTACTTCAAGGTTCTATAGCTTCCATATTAAAAACAAAAAAAAGCCTGTCCTGAAGTCCTTGCCCTTGTTGTGTGGCTCAGGAAGGCTAACTCTGGTGGCTGTGTGAAGGACATGCTATTGCACACAGTCTCTGAGGTGTCATTTGTGGATTAGCTATTATACTGACTTGCACCTACCCCAGATCTCGTCTACTGACCTACATCTAACACAGACCTCATATACTGACCTGCACCTACCCCAGATCTCATCTACTGACCCGCACCTACCCCAGATCAGCTCTAGAAGCATGAGGGAGGGCAAACAATATCTAAATACCAAACTAGCCTGTGTATCCCAATGCAATCATTCAGTATGTTAACTCTCTCAGGCTTCTAGTGCAGTAAATAGAGAACTTTCTTCATGCGCTGTTTATAAAGCACCACTACCCGAATGAGAGTCCCTTGGAGTTCCTCCTTTTTAGAAAGCACTCCCGTTTCCCCCTCATCCGCCCTTCTCCAAAGCTCTCTAGCTTCTCTAGCACAGTCATTCTGGCCTTGAGTGTGAGCTGAGCCCCACCCCAATAAGCTTTCCTGCCGACACAAACAAACAAACAAATCTCTATTCCACCTGGAAAGGTCTATTCCACTTGTCAAACTGCTTGCCTGGCATTTGTATGACTCAGTCCTAAACTGTACCCAAAGCTGCTCTAAGTAAGATCATGTCCACAGACCCAGCTCATCTGCTCAGGAACAAAAGGTCAAACAAGCCCTCAATTGTACGTTTTACACATCTGTCCACTTTAGTTTGTACAGATGTTCCTCATGTGGAGTGTTGTTGGCCTCTGTGCAAAACTAAAATTCACATATGCACAAATTTTACAATAACAAAGACAAGTGTTTTTTTTTTCCAAATAGTTCTAGGAAGTGTTTTCTATGTTTGAAGGCCACCTCATGGTTCCTCTGTTTCATGATCCTCTCTGGAGGAAGTCCCACTCATCCCATAATAATGGCACATGTCATGGAAAATATCAATCAAAATTTCATTGTCTCCTGGTGTAGTATGTACCTGCTTGAAATATAAACTGATGAACAGTAGCTACTACAAAAGACTGAGAAGCCATGTACTTCTCAGCCTTGAAAAACCCATGTAGCCTCTTGGGCATTCTGATGACTTTTATTTCCTTTAAAGAGGTGATATCTTCTACACAGTATTCAAGGGCAGAACTCTCTTTATTTGAGATTGGCTAAACTAGAATAGAGTAGTAGATCTAGACTAACGTTTTAGGTTTACTCCGATTGCTGTGTTAAAGCTCTATGACTGAAAGGCAAGTTGGGAAGCCAAGGGTTTATTTGGCTTATGATCCCACATCACTGTTCATCATGGAAGAAATTCAGGACAGGAACTCAAACAGGGCAGGGAGCTGGAGGCAGGAGCTGATGCAGAGGCCATGGAAGGTGTTGCTTCCTGGCTTACTCCTCATGGCTTGCTCAGAATGCTTTCTCATAGAACCCAGGACCACCAGCCCATGGCACTACCCACTGTGTGCTAAGCCCTCCTACATCAATTGCTAACTAAGAAAATGCTCTACAGTCTTGCTTACAGCCTGATGATCTTTTGGAGGCATTTTCTTAACCATTGAGCCATCTCTCCAGCCTACGGTGGTATTTTCTTAATTGAGGTTCCCTCTTCTGAGATGACTTTAGCATGTATCAAGTTGACATAAAACTAGCCAGCACAAACAGAATATGTTTTAAACCATCATGTGGTTTGAAGACATATAGCTCCCCATCAAGAAGATTAAAGCCAGAATGCCGTCTTTGGGTATTTTTTACAGCAGGAGGCAGACAGCAAGCAGAGTAAACGTTTTCCTCTCCTTGCAGCACTTCTGTGTCTGCAAATTCTGGTCTGGTCACAGCATTGGAAGCAATTGAAGAATCAGGGGTGGGTAAGAATACTGCCACTCCCTGAATGGCGAGACTTAAGTTAAAAAGTAGTCTCCATTGCTTGGAGGTCTTGGAAAAAAAAATGCTTCATTTTTCTGGCTTTGTTTGTTTGTTTTCATATTTAGAACATCGGTCACACAAACCCATCTTAACCAAAGTCCACTATGTGATGCCACATAGGAGGGGCACACGTAGGGGACTTTCCTATTATTAGTGTGTGCAGACTACCTGGGTGCTGGACAGCAGCTCTGCCGGGACAGAAGCCAGCAAGGAAGACATGGCCAACACATCTGTGAGAACCTGCCTTAGGAACCTGATAGTTGATCCCCAGTCCTCCCACACCCGAAGCCCCCCAGGTTCACTACAGGTTAAGAATTTATTAACACACTGCCTCTTCATTCTGCATTTTCCCTTCTGAGTCACAAAGGGATAGAGTTTGTGCAGTTCGAGTCCAGATCGTGAGGTCAGTCTTCGTACCTTTCTGAGCTCCTCATCACTGGCTACTTGAGTGACTAATACAATTGATTAACTTATAGGACTGATTTGACAGCCACGGACAGGCCTGGAGTACCGAGCAAGCTTTGCTATTCACCCTGGCTCATTTGTAAGTGATTATGACGCATTTCCGAGGACTCCTGTATTCTCCAGGTATTGGCACATCCACAAACTGCCAAGATTTAACATTCTGTGGGAAAGAATCAATGTCGGAATCAGAGACTAAAGCAGTCTCAAGCCTTATAAAAAGCAGAAAAAGACACCCTGTGCTTCCTGACCATGCAGTCCTATGGGCAGCTTACTCTCATACCATATGGCTACACCAAAAATAAACCAAGTGACTACGGAGAACTAGTGAGTCCTGAGTGCCAAGGGCTCTAGAGATACCTCCGCAGGGCCACAGCCTTCCGGCCTCTGATTTTGGTTTCCAAGAGATTTTGGCTCCATTCTCCTTTCCCCCACCAACCTTATTTTCTTTTTCCTGCTTTTTTAATACTGTGCCAGATGCCTGCCGGCAAGACTCTGGGTTAAATGCTGCTGTACCTGCACTAATTAACTACCTGTTTCAGGAAGTGTCAAGTTGGGAGACATCTTAGGTGTTTGGCTATAATCTAAATGAGATGATTATGGTAATAATCTGCAGGGATGCGCTCTCCTTTCTGTTGCTCCCTCGAAGCTCCATCCAGCGATTACAGCTTGTGAACCATGCTTTCCAAACTTGCCAGCTGTTAGCGGGATGTGGCGTATCTAAAATAATTCCTGCTCTCTTTTCCACTGAGCACAATGCAGTGTTTTTTTTTTCTAGACTCTTCTGGAAGCATTTGCCCAGGAATATTTCTAAGAGGAAGTGCCAGGGAAATGCAAGTCAGAGCCAGGAGCTTGTGCTTTGTTTTCCCAGGTCCTTCTCTGAAGCCCTGCTTACTCAAGGTCTGCTGGGCAGGCTTGCTGCAGAGAACTGGGCTCTTCGCCCTTTGCTGAGTCTGAGGCTCACAGTCACAAGCCAAAGGGGGAACAAATGCAGGACTGCTGTAATATTTACTATGTTTTAGCTGAGATTTTTCTATTTTAATTATGGTAAAAATACTTAGCATAAATTTGCAGTGGCAACCATTTTTAGGTGTGAGTTCAGAATCTTCAACATTGTGTACCAACCCCTTGACTGTCTTATTGTGTATCCCCCATTTTCCTCTGTGCCCCACTGTGGCAAGCACCGTTTTCTCTCCACACCTATGAGTATGAGTCGTCCAGATGCCTCACATCAATGGAGCAGTACAGGATTTGTCTTTTTAGGACTAAGTTATTCAAGTTAGTGCAATATCCCCAGTGTAAATCTCCTGTAGGGTAAATCACAATTTCCTTTCTTGTCCTTTTGGCTGTGAGCCTTTAATGGCCAAGCTGTCTCTTCAGATTAGAATTTCCTTCCTTTTAAGAGCAGGCAGTATTCCCGAGTATGCATATACCCTGCCTTGTTTGTCACCGGGCAGTGGCACTGGGTCTAGCCCACTCTCCTGCCTAATGCTACCAAGAACAAGGCTGTGCAGGTTTCCCTCCAAGACTCCACTTCACTTCTCAGACACATCTAGAAGCATAGTTTCAGGCTTATATGATAATTCTAGTTTTGATTTCTTTTTTATTTCATTTACTGATTTCCATTTCTATTGTTCCATTTAAAATATCTACCTACAGAGCACAATCTCACACCTCATCAAAGTCTTGCCAATGTTTATTATTATTTAAAAAAAAACTTTTAAAAAGAATACCCTCATCATGAACAGATAATAGGGTAGACGGGAGCAAGTGCTACCCTATCACAGAGGCCGGGCAACCTCTTGGCTAGTTTATGTCTCTTGTCCTTTCCCCACTGGAGCGTGACCATTAGAGTACAGGCCAAGACTAAAGGATAACCCACTAGAGACCTTTGCTGAAGGGAGTCCCCAGAAGTCAAAAATACACAGCAATACATAAATACCTTTCTTGGGGCCATTTTTTCTTCCACAAAATTCCACAAAAAATTATATTATGTGATCATTTTCAAAAATGTAGAAGTAACTAACATTTGCTTGAATTATTACAATTTACAAAGGGATTTTAAAGGCATTATCTCATTTGACTCTTTTTTCAGGTTTTCTTTTTTTTAAATAGAGCTCTACATTTTTCTCTGCTCTTCCCCCTGCCTCTCCCTTACCCTCTTAAATCCTCCCCCAAGGTCCCTATGCTCCCAATTTACTCAGGAGATCTTGTCTTTCTCTAATTCCCGTGTAGATTAGATCCATGTATGTCTCTCTTGGTGTCCTCATTGTTGTCTAAGTTCTCTTGGATTGTGGTTTGTAGGCTGGTTTTCTTTGTTTTATGTTTAAAACCACCTATGAGTGAGTACATGTGATAATTGTCTTTCTGGGTCTGGGTTACCTCACTCAAAATAATGTTTTCCAGCTCCATCCATTTTCCTGCAAAATTCAAGCTGTTATTTTTTTCTGCTGTGTAGTACTCCATTGTGTAAATGTACCACATTTTCCTTATCCATTCTTCGGTCGAGGGGCATTTAGGTTGTTTCCAGGTTCTAGCTATGACAAACAAAGATGCTGTGAACATAGTTGAGCACAAGTCCTTGTGGCACGATTGAGCATCCTCTGGATATATACCCAAAGGTATTATTGCTGGGTCTTGAGGAAGGTTGTTTCCTAATTTTCTGAGAAATTGCCACACTGACATCCAAAGGGCCTGTACCAGCTTGTATTCCCACCAGCAATGCAGAAGTGTTCCCTTTTCCCCACAACCTCTCCAGCATAAGTTGTCATCAGTGTTTTTGATTTTGGCCATTCTTAACAGGTGTAAGATAGAATCTCAGAGTTGTTTTGATTTGCATTTCTATGATGACTAAGAATGTTGAGCATTTCCTTAAGCGTCTTTCAGCCATTTTAGATTCCTCTGTTGAGAGGTCTCTGTTTAGGTCTGCACTCCATTTTTTTTTATTGGATTATGTATTCTTTTGGTGACCATTTTCTTGAGTTCTTTGTTTGTTTTTTTATATCAGACCTGTCTGGTGTGGGGTTAGTGAAGATCTTTTCCCATTCTGTAGGTTGTCGTTTTGTCTTGTTGACCATGTCCTTTGCTTTACAGAAGCTTTTCAGTTTCAGGAGGTCCCATTTATTAATGGTTTCTCTCAGTGTCTGTGCTACTGGGGTTATATTTAAGATGTGGTCTCCTGTGCCAATGCATTTAAGTGTACTTCCCACTTTTTCTTCTACAAGGTTCAATGTGACTGGCTATATGTTGAGGTCTTTGATTCATTTGGACTTGAACTTTGTGCATGGTTATAGATATGGGTCTATTTTCATTCTTCTACATGTTGGATATCCAGTTATGACAGCACCATTTGTTAAATATGCTTTCTTTTTTTTCCATTTTATATTTTTTGATTCTTTGTCAAAAATCAGGTGTTCGAAGGAGTGTTCAGTTGATTGGTCCTTATGTCTGTTCTTATGCCAATACCAGGCTGTTTTCAGTTTTGTAGCTCTGTAGTAGAGTTTGAAGTCAGGGATTGTGATGCCTCCAGAAGTTCTTTTATTGTACAGGATTATTTTGTCTATCCTGGGTTTTTTGCTTTTCCATATGAAGTTGAGTATTGTTCGTTCAAGGGCTATGAAGAATTTTGCTGGGATTTTGATAGGCATTGCATTGAATCTGTCTCATTTGACTCTTATGAGGACATAATGAACTCACTTTAGGAATAGACAGAGAGTCTGAGGCAGCTACATTCCCAGAACTCCTCCAGGGAGAACATGGTGGAGTCTAGGTTGGTCCTAGACTTGTATCCTGCATGCCCAAAGACTTGTATCATCCACACAAAGCCCCTGTCTGCTTAGAAAGAATTTTTAAATTTTTGAAGCCGTTAATCAATTTAGATCTCCAGTCAACCATGTACTCTTTCATCCTCAATTATAATCCCTGGCATTTTTTTTCTTGATAGAGAAATTTGCAGAAATGTGTTAGTTATCAAGCCCAGAACTAGGCTCATTCCTCAGCTTCTATGATAGTCGCTATAGATTTTTTCTCTCTGAGAGAACTGAAGCAAAGCCAGTTGACTCTCCAGAGACATTGTAGACCTTCAGTGAGACGGTGTCTCCCACCAACAGAAAGGCCTTCATGGAAGATATCATCTTTCAATATAATAATACCTCAATTTTTTTCATGGGAATATCATTCCTTTTGGCTCAGGAATCGAGATATTACATGATCTGTATCCAAAAGTCAGAGGATGTCTTGTAGATTGCCCTTCTTGTTAGAGCCCTGTGGCCCTGTGGCCACAGGTTAGCAAGAGTATGTGGGAGATGCTTGGATCAGTAGCATAGGAACTGCTGGGAAGTGATTCTAAGAGGAAAATCTTGGGAAGTCATTGGTTCACACACAGAAACAAGGGAAGTTTTCTGTGTCCTTTGCAGCCTCGGGTGTGGAAGAATAAGCATAACCATTTGTCTTCAAATGTTTGGATAGGAAGCATGAAAATTCTGCACAATGTGTCAATCTTATTGAATCTTGGCAGTGTCCATGGCTTCCTGGGCTGAAGCTGTAGTACTGTGCACAACTGCACTGAACTGAGCCCCTTGCTCCAAGGAGATTTCCATTCTAGAGCTATTTTACAGCGACTCTGTATTTACAAAACCAAAGCTTTTCAGAGCCATGGTAAATATTAAATTGCATGTGGGCAACTTGGCAGCCTCTGTGTAGAAAAAAAACAGGAATATATATATATATGAACTGCTCTTGAAATTAGAGCACCTCTCAAATTTGTAATGTTTTACATCCTGGAACTATGTACATCTAAACCCTTTCATAACAACCTCTGCACTCCATCTCAAGCTGTATCTTCCTGCACACATCAGGGCCTTTATAATCAAACCATTTGTACATCTGTCCTTACAGGGCAGCGGAAGAGCCTTGAGCAGGCTAGAAGGCTTTAGCAGTATATCATTTTCCACTGAAAAGGTGGGTTTCTCCTTTTTCCTAGGAAGCACCTTCAAGTACAGAAGATGGACAGAGACATGACCCCTCTTTCAGCCCCTCAGTGAAGTTCAGAAGAAAAGTCTACTCTGGCGCTCTACTCTGAGACGAAGTAAATCTAAGGAGGACTGGGCCTGGTGGCCCCAATTCTAACACTCAGAGGCAGGGGGATCTCTGTGAGTTCAAGGCCAACTTGGCTTATAAATCAAGGCCAACTAGTGCTACACAGTATGACCCTATCTCAAAGATGTATTAAACATGAAGGGGCCCTGCAGACTCAAAGCTCAGGGTCTCCATGACACAGTACAACACAGGATATCCAAGAGGAGCCCCAGTGAGGGTCCCGCAGAAGCCAGAGGCCTCGAAGCAGACCAATGACTCTTTGTAATGAACACTCAAGTAAAGATATATGGGTATAAGGGTATAACGCATGATTGAATGTGTCATACTAAAGCTTCCATAATAAGATTTTTATTTTCTTTTCGCTTAGATTTTATTTTATTTTGGGGGAAGGTTGGAAGGACAAAGGGTAGATATGAAAAGACAGGGAGACAAATGGGATCAAGATGCATGATGTGAAAAACATAAAGAATAAATAAAAATAAAGTTTAAAAATAAAAACAAACAAACAAAAATAAAACAAAATTAAATAAAAAAAAACAAAGAAATCTGTGGAATTTCTATTTTGTCTTCTCAGAAAGGACCAAATCTATGTATAAGCTGAGAATCACAATTCTGTTTTTCTACTTCTTCATAGTAATTAATAATTGGGAAAAAAAAAACCAACAAAGAAGGGGAAATGAGTTTGCTATCCTACAGCTAAAATTTGAAAAGAATGAACTACAAAGAATGGACTATGTAAAGGCTGGCCATAAAATAGTTGCTTGGGGTGAGCTTTAGAAACAAAAATAAACCAAGTCGAGGAATAATTTGGATTAAAAAATGTGGCCTAAGGCTGACTCATGTGATTCATGTGACCTTCTCAGACCAGCTGGTGTGGAATTTCATCCAGGGAAGGAAGGACCGGCACATGAGAACCAAAAATGATTAGGAACAACTTATTTTTTTGCTAGGTGATTTTCACCAGTGAGTATGGTTGGCCAGTCACGTCCCCAAGTCTGTTCTTCGCTTCATGGATGACACATGGCAGCTCCCTGAGCCCTGTCCCCAGCCCTCTTCGTTTTCTTAGCAGGACTTTTCCTCTTTCTGCCTCCCGCTTCCTCTTCAGCGTCCTCTTCCCGGTACAAATGACGGGACTGCTTTATCCTGCACTTTATCGTCAGCTTTTTCGGCCCCTTTCTCCACTGGGGCAATACAAACCCAGGAACTGAGAGACTCAGAATTGTTTTTGAGTAAAAAGAGAAAGAATTGGTGATTGAGCAGATACAGATGAATCCCCAGCAGTGAGGGGAGAGAAGTAAGAGGCTGGCAAATGTATTCAAGTGTGTGCATGTGTGTTTGGTGTGTGTGTGTGTGTGTGTGCGTGAGTATGTGCGTGTGTATGTATGTGTGTGCGCGTGTGTGTGTGTAGGTTTGTATGCATGTGTGTGTGCATGAATCACATGCAGAAAATCCAAAATACCTAAAAGATGCTGCCTCTGACCTCACTACCATGATTTGCTGCCTGCTTAATTCTTTGTAATTTCTCTGGGCTTCTCTCACCTCTACCCAAGCACCTCTCTCTTGCATTTTAGCACCCAGAAGTGAACTACAAAAAGGAAAGGTGAAAAAGCCATATAAAACTAGGCCATTACTAGCTGAGAGTGTCAGGAGACCTGATAATGGCTATCTGGGACCAGCAGCTGAACATCACCTTGCTGGCAGGAAGAACAAGAGGTTTGGGGACTGTGTAGGATCTAAGGAGAAGCTGTAGGATTAGTACATGGGTTATCATGTTAGGATGTCTGGAATCAGAAACACTCAGAAGGTCTGTCAACAGACCATTTTGAATAGATTTTCAGTAGAGCAGTAAATACAGGACTTAGCAGAAGTCCAGTAAGTGTTGGGCTTTAATAGTGACGGATCTCAGGAAAGAACCTACAGAAAGGAAGGCTGAGACCTAGAAGATCTTCTAGTTCTGAGAGATTCCTTGTAGAATCAGGAGACATGGAAGTAGAGGGGTGTATAAATTATCTGTAAGAAAAAAAACAAAGGGGAGAAACGGTAAGAGGCTATGAAGAAAGGGCTGTGGAAGAGACAGCAGGAAAAAAGCGAACCCCGTTGGGGTCAGCATCCAGATGGATGGAGAAAGATTATTTGAGAAAGTGCCTCAAAGTTGGGTCAATAGGTGGAGACTCCATGTGGAGGGAGCACCCTGAAGAAAGAGAGGGACATTGAGGGGCATGGTGTATATCCAAGGAACAGTGAGGAAGCTTGCGTTTGACTACAATGTAGGGAAAGAGTATAGGATTCAGTATTTAGGAACACATTGTGGAGGATCACAAAGTCTAGGCTATGCAGTCTGTGTTTAATTTAGTGGGCAATGAGAAGACACGGAAAGCTTTTCAGCAGGTTCGTGAACATAGATTTATGCATCTGGAAGCCGTGTGGGACCAGTTGGGATAGAGCCTGGTGGGAGGAAGTGAGTTAGAAGACACAACAGACCATTTCTGAGGTAAGGAGTCTGACAAGGAGTAATAGCAATGAAAATTCACGTTGGTGACTTTGGGGGGGGGGGGGGAGAAGCTAAAGATATCTACAGACTTTTACATGTGTGTTGTAGTAATATGCAAGACCAGAAATAGCAACAGCCTCATTGGTAATGAAAAGGAATATAGGTGTGGTTAATGTGGGGTGCCAACAGGCTACCTAGACACAAATGCCCAATGGGAGGTTAGAGAGAAAGTCTAAAACCTCAGGGATAGATCTGTACAAAACATAAAACCCTTGGCTCGTCGGGTTTATTTTTAAAACCAGCTCTCTCGGCATTTCCCACCTACAGATTCAAGTTGGACAGAAGGCGGCAAATGCATTGAAAGCAAAGCGTGGAACCAATTATAGAGTTGGATCAAGTGCAGATATTTTATGTAAGAATACTTTTTTGTCTCTTTAATGGGATCTAAGGCACAGAAGAAATCAATGAAGTTATGATGGTGAGATGGGCCAGAGAGCAGGAGTTCCTGTGACCCACTGAGAGCTGGAAGAATCAAAATGGCCGAGGATAAAAGGCAGTCTGTGTGATTCAATATTGTACTCTCTAGGGATAAGGTATGAGGGCAAAGGAAAAACAGCGACACGTTGGCTCAAACCAGAACTTTCCCTGGCTTGAGTTAAAAAAGAGCTGGCAAGTTGGAAGGCACAGGAGTTAACAGGAAGGGCATTGTCCTTTCAGCCTTGGTCAGTTGATTGCAGTCCCAGAGGAGCCAGGAAGGCAGAGCAGGGAAGACTGGGGAAGTAGTCAGAAGACAGAGGTCAGCCGAAGGAAGATGCAGTGCTTATCCCCACTACCCAGGAGCCCCTGGGGCCCACCTACCTAATCCTGGTGTCATAATTTTCCTGTGAATCATTTGGTTTTTTGGTTTTTCAGTTTTCCTTTTTCTTTTTATATTCCTCTGTGAGGATTAGACCATTCGTTCTTGCCTTGCAATTCGAGGCTGCCTCATTTTTTAAATTTTTTATTTTTCTTTTAATCAATTGAGAAACTTTTAACTAAGTCTCTGCTGCTTTGTTCCAGGCAGAAGGAAGAAGGGACCAAATAAAATACAGGCTGCTTACCAAAGACAGAGGGTCTTAACCAGGGACATCTCCTTCATATCCCCTGGCGTGGCTATGGAACCCCACCTTCCAAGGTCTCATTTCGACATTTACCTCCTGTCTTCTTTACAGATGCTATGTCAGGATCCTACAAAGACTGGACTTGAGGCATTGGGATCCCCTTCAAATACACGGTTGAGCTGAGGGTCAACGCTACCCATGGTTTTCTTTCTGCCTGAAGCCCGACTCCAGCCCACTTGTGAGGAAAGCATGGAAGCTCTGCTTTCACTCCTTGATGGTGTGTATGAGAATTACTGGTCGCCAGCAGCGCCGGGAAGGACAGCCACAAACTAGCCGCTGACCATGCTGTATTCTTCGCATCTGCCTCCTACCTTGGCCTGCTTAGCCATAGTGATGGGAATATGGTTGAGGTGAAGGAGCGTGCTGTTGTATAGAGGCCAAGCCACGAGCTTAAAAATACTCTATATTCTAATAAAGAGTCATGTTAGCATTTTAAACATTTGTTTTGCTGGTAATTAATTTTTATTGCTCTAGAAGAATATTGTACTACTTAGCTATTACAACTCGAAAGCTATAAAGTAAGCCCTTTTAAAACTCAGTGGTGCGTGCACCTGTAGACCTGTGAGAAAATTCTGCTGAGCCGGCGGTACTCACCGATGCGTTGGAGCTAAGTGGCAGGCAGCTGGTTGAGCAGGCTCAGTCTAAACCTGCATGAGGGGCCATATTCATGCTCTCTGTGTCCTTTTTCAGCAGGTTTGACCTGGCCTGCAGGAGGGGATCAAGCCCCAGCCTCCAGACACTATTCAAACCTCTGACTATATCACACTTGTTAACACCCCATTTGTTCTGGCTCCTTCCTTATGTCAACTTGACACAAGGTAGGGTCATCTGAGAAGATGGACCCCTAACCAAGAAAATGCCTCGGTGTGATTGATTGGCCTGTAGGCAAGTCTGTAGGGTGTTTTCTGGATCGATGATTGAGGTGGGATGCTGTCCTGGGGCAGGTGGTCCTAAAAGGGGTGTTTAGGAAAGCAAAGTGAGCAAGCCAGGAGAATTAAGCCAGTCAACAGCACTCCTTCTGGTCTCTACTCTAGTTCTTGTCTCCAGATTCCTGCCCTGAGTTCCTGCTCTGACTTCCTTCGGTGATGGACAGTGACGCGGAAGTATGAATGGAATAAACCTTTCCCTCCCCAAGTTCTTTTGGCCACGTGTTTTATCACAGCAACAGAAACCTAAGCAAGACACCATCAAATAAAGGAAGTGTCTGAGTGAGAATTGAAGGGCCGGGCAAAGGGCAATGCAAGTACATGTGAAAGACCAGGCTCTTCATTACAATCCCTCTGTTTGGTGTTGGGTGTCATAGCCTTGAGCTTCACTCTCTAACTTTGTATATGAGACACCTCCGCAGGGAGGTGTTCAACTCTGATTCTTCCAAGTCTGTGTTTTGTGCAGAAGAATCCCACTGCGCTCGGAATCTAATTAGAAACCAGCTGACCAAGGTCTGCGCTCTACTTATTATTTTGAATTTATGATCCCAATATTCACTAAGGAAAGGAAGTACAAAGGAGTTCCTTGGGTGTGCTATTAGTCGCTACCATCTCAGTTCTTCAGAAATTTGCTTGTGTCTTTGATCCTTTTTATTCATGGGTTAGTAGCAGCATCTAGAAAATAGTATATATAATTTGTAGAGTTGCTGCTAGCTTGAAATATTTGTGTGACTGCTTTGTTTATTTGTTAATCATTATTTTTATTATTTTAGCATCTCCTAGGTGTGTTTAGAATGTCTACGAGTTCACAGGCATGGTGCACATGTGTTTGGTTTTATATTACAGTAAGTGAAATCCAAACAGCAGCCTTGAGTAATTAGAAGAGACACACTGTCTCATCCAGGGCAAATCCCAGCTTAGTGGAAGCTGTACAGCAAGAACATAAAGAAATAAGCTACGTATTCCAAGTGCTATGAAGGAACAGGGGAAGGGCCAGCTTGTGTGTTTGCGGCTATCTGGGCACTTAACTGCACTCTCTCGCCTATTAAATTCCAAGTGCTTTTTAGGCAGCCGCAGAGACTGTCATTTCCTATGTATCTCCCTGTGACACCTTGAAATGGTGCTAAGCATTTGACAGACTTTGAACAAATGCAGCTGTGACTGGCTGACAGGATGTCCCTAGTGTTTAGTCACCCGTTTCCAAATTTCCTTGTTGGCCACAGTCACAATACACTTCCTGGTTGTAACCCTTTCATGGTCCTTCTTTGTCCTCTTTGTTTCTCCATGGTTTCCTAATGTGTGGCTGATAAGGGTCAGAAAGGAAATGTCAGGGGCAATGGTGTTGCATGAATCAGGGACCAGAGATTTACATAAAAATGCCAACTCCACAATTGTGGCATTGTTGTGGGGAACCAGTTAGTTCTCTTCAATGGTCAGCCTAGAAAAGAAGAAAGCTGGTGTGAGCCACTCAATGCCACATTCAAGAGGCAGCCATGCTTATAATCTCAGGTTACTGCTGCTCGTGTAGCCCAAGTGTCAGTTCCTGGGATTTTAAAAATAGAATGATTTGGATGTCTGCATACTATAGGATCCCCTGCCAAGAAAATTGATATGCTATCTAAGAGGGAAGCCTGGGGGCCATAGCCCGTTTTTTTGCTTCTCCTTACAGCTTTTTCACTTCTTGTGAAGAAATCCTAAAGGATAAGGCTGGAAAGATATTGAAGGTTCTTCTTGAAGGTGTTTTCAGACTCCTGTTTCTAAAATGGTCACTGAGAGATCTAAGCCATGGTTCAATGCCTATAATCTACAATCATTTCTGAGACTGGGTTTTGATTTTGACCCCACATTAAAATTAAATTATTTTGTTATTTTCATGGATGTTAGAGGCTATGAAATTCCTGGGTCAAAGTCAAGGCCTTTTTTTTTCTTCTCACAGCACATCAATGAACACAAACACGGGCATATTTACATCCACGCCCTACACTCTAATCTCAATGGGACGATGCAGTGAAGCCCAGTGCCATGTACAGAGAGATTTGCTCTGGAAGAGACACACAGCTTGGGTCCGAGCAGCCAGTGCATCTGATCTTCATCTCACAGATACTTCCACATCACATTAACGCTGGGTCGCTTGCTTGCTGCAGGCAGACAACGGGTAAGGAGTGGTCTTCCCAGCTCTCCTAGCATCATCAACAGGATGTCAGAAAAAAGAGGTCAGTAAGGGACCGCCTCCCGAGGGGCTTCATGTATCAGATGGAATCACAGGAAACTGCAGCTTTCAAAGGGTTTAAATACTTCAGCACTGGTAACTTAATACAGTTCAATTTAATACCATGCCCATGTTAATAAAACAATTTCCTTAATGCCTTCTCTCTCTCTCTCTCTCTCTCTCTCTCTCTCTCTCTCTCTCTCTCTTTCTCTCTCTCTCTCAAACATTTGACTATTCTGCATTTCCTGTTTCCATTTCTTCCCACAAAACTGTCAGGAAGAAAGGTTCACATTTATGGATTAGTAAATTTTTGAAGTGATTGGTATTGTGTGAAGATAATAGCCACATACATAGTTTTCTGCCTTTCTGTTATTGAGATTGTGTGATATTTTCTTACTGTTCTGAAAAGGGAATTTTATTTCTAAGGATTAATTCATTCAAAATAATGTAAATAAGTAAAGAAATCTTCAGTAGTAGAGTGTTCATCCCCATCTTATCAACATGTTCCTTCCCAGAGAATCCCTCCTCTCAACGAGGATTTCTGTTTGTCTCCTTTCTTTTATTACTGTTTTTTTATCCACTAATCATCTTCTTCACCCTCCTTCTCTCCCTCTCAAATTATCCTTCTCAACACGTTCCCTCCTACTACCAAGCTATTTCCTTTAAACTCTATTTGTTTATGGCGCACTGAATTTAACTAGGGTTGCTTGCAGGAGCGTGGATAGGATGGTCATTTACTGAAGAATGGGCAACTCATCAGCAGTTACACCACTGAAGAAAAACAACTGGTAGCCACGAATACTCCCCCCCCCAGGCGATATCATCAGCCCCTCAACCAGAGCTCTGACATGAGTGGGAGGCTGCGTCGTGTCTAGAAGCCGTTGTAGCCTTCTCCTCTGTCCTCCAGCTCTTACACTTTCTGCTCCCTCTTCCACAGTGCTCATCAAACCTTGGAAGCAATGATATAGAAGTAACATTTAGGGCTGAACACTAATTGTGACTTATTCTCAGCACAATGACCAATTATTTTTGATGACCGATGACTAATTAATGTTTTCATTAATCAATGCCCACTGTAAGAAAAGAAGCTTCTTTGACAAAGGCCAAGAATGGGACTAATCTATGGATACAAACACATTACCATTTAGCAAATGAACAACTCGACATACTATAAGCTAAGACCAATGTTATTAGTCGATGGACCCTAAGCATATGTGATCTCTCCAGTCACATGCCGATTGCGTTGGGTGGGTTACTCAGTCTAGGGGTTTGTAACCCACCCTGCAATCAGTTATTCCAGGGTCTCGGAGGGGCGCTACCTGGAAGGGAATGAGCTAGGACAGAAGAAGGAGGCCAAGCAGATTTGTCAAAGCCTCCTTTATTAGGATCATGGTTGCTGCTTATATAGGCCATGCACGAGGACTTGGTGGGCAGGGCATGGGATCTCGCCGCGTGGTCCCGGTCACGTAA